AATTTCTTTTACAGCGCTCGGGCCGTCATACATGTACGCACGTCAAACGAAAATAGCTGTGACCAAACAAAGCACACAGTTGGGCTCCGCCGAGATGCACAGGGGACCTTTCTTGCAGCGACCCCGGAAGGAGTACTGAAAGCAAAGTTTGGAGAATGCGAGGTCCGGCCGCTTTCGCAGTTCCTCTTCGGAATGTGCGAAGTTGCACGCCTCACCTCACTTTCGGATGTTAAAAGCAAACGTAGCCAAAAACAGAGCAAGCCACAAACAAGAAATCAAATAACTGCAGTCTACCACAATTCTCGTTTTAAACAAAACAGGTCTTGCATGCTCCTCGATACATCCAATGATGTATGTCTGTTGGACATCGTTTTTGAAAATGACGCCGCCTGATGCCCCCTACTGCGAATGATACACTTTGGCAGCAATTCAGCCTCAATTTGGCGAGAACAGCCGCGATTTGTAGGCCTGGCTGCGTTTGGCATCGTCAGACGCCGTTTGCGCAAAAAGGTGTCCAACGCACGACGTTGGATTGTCTAAGTAATGCCCCAAACCTGACCTAGAACCCTGTCATCATCTTTGGGGAGCGGCCACAACATAGTTTCGGGCGATCACTATTTTTATAGGGCATAAAATGCCAGTCTTTGCCAGCTCAAAACACCACCTCCGAGCCCCTGACTGTTCACGTTCTTCTGATCCACGGTGTTGTAGGACTCGTTGCCTCATCCCCGTCATACTCCACTCTGCCTCGATGGTGGTTCCAAGGGCGTACCTTGCTGCTGCCGGGCTTCTGATGCATCAGCCGCACCACACTTGACTATTGTTTGCTTGCATTTTTTACGTTGGTTTTCACAGACCTGCTCGTCTCCTACATGGTGCTATTCACGTAGATCCCGACGTCGGCTGCTGTTGCCGCTCAAGTCCCTTGTCCTTGATGTCCAGCGTGAAAACTTCCCACCCCACTGGTCCCAAAGCACCACAGCTTCTCAAGTCTCGCTCCTTGCTCCCTTATCATCTTCATCACGCCGCCAACTTCTGCTGCCTTGGCTGTCTGTCTCACGACCACTGCGGCATCCGCCGTCTCCGGATTCTTTTCAAGGGTGGCTATATCTTCCACCTTCATTCCCGGACCTGCGCCTGCCACCATGATCCTGCCCGCAAGCCTGATGGAAAGGGCGGGGCTCTTTCCTGGATCTCTTGTCCGTGAGCGGTTCATTTTCCCTGCCCAATCTTCTCAGGCCTCCCTGCCTGGTTTCACAGTAGCTTGGCCGCATCATAGTCTTGTGGCACCACCAACTTCGACAGAAACCGGTCCCGCACATCCACATAGAATTCCTTCAGCGCCTTGAGCATGACCTAGGTGGGCTTCTTCCGGGACATCGCCCTTCAGCAGCAGGCTTCGAATTCAGCGCCTCGCTCTTAATCCATAAGATTGATCATTCGAAGTGCTACTGCCCCCTCAAAGCACATCATCTACTACCTCAGCTCTATCCCATTCTTCTCTGGTTCTGCACGGTCGTAGTGCGTGCGTTGCCCTCCAGCAGACCCTTTCCATCGCCACCATTCCCGACTTGGTTCATGACGACGACCGCAGCCTCAATGACCGAAGCAGCGTCGCCTCTGCCAGAAACTCCCCCGTTCCCTGGCCGCTCCACCCGTAGCACCACCACGAATGGTAGTAGCCGTGAGGACGACGAAGTATCCTTCCAGCATCCAGCCAATTAAATTCACTATAGCCGGCTTTGATTGCTACAAAAGTGCTGCGCCTGCCCCGAAATTGAAGCGAAGCGCTCTAAAGCGCTGCGGCTGTCTCGTAAAGTAAGCTTGCAACAAACGCAAAATCCCCTAAGCTGGCGCGTCTGCCACGAAGTCCAACTTTGACACGTTTACGACACGCGTCCAAAACTCGCATGGGGCTGTGGCGCCAGAATGTCAAGCTCGACAAAACGAGCCGAGTATACGGCAGGGCTAACGAAAACGACGCCGGCGCAAACACTATCACGCCTCCACCCCTGAAACACAAATCCCGATGGCACGGCAACGCGGACACGCGACCTTCCAAAACACTCCGCCTGCGCAGCGAAACGATATGCAACGCTGCACACGACACGACTCACGCACAGGCGGGACGTATTGATTTGAGACTCATCGAAAAGTCACTTCTTGCGGAACTCCCGATGGCACGGCAATGTTGTCCACGGACACTTTCGGACGCTTTCGAGCGCTTTGCGGCCACAGGCGAGCCGACCAGCAAACATGTCTTACACCCAGACCCCGCTTAGTAACGGAAAGCCTTCGCTACGCATTCGGGAAAAACACCGGTTCCACAAACAAGCCAACACTCCAAAACACAAACAAACAAACAAACAAACAAACACACAAACACAAAAAACGATCAAACAAACACACAAACACAAAAACACAAACAAACAAACCGACACCCAAACAACAAAAAGGCAAACAATCAAACAAATAAACAAACAAACAAACAAACAAACAAACAAATAATGAATCAATCAATCAATCAATCAGTCAATCAATCAATCAATCAATCAAACAATCAAACAAACAGCAAGCAAACCCACAACCACACACAAACCACAAATAAATGAACGAACGAACGAACAAACAAACAAACAAACAAACAAGAAAACCAAGAGGCAACCAACCAAAAAAACAAGCACAAACACAAGCAACCAAAACAAAGGACAAAAACTAAAACAAACAAACAAACAATCAAGCAAACAAACAACCAAAGAAACAACAAGAACAAACAAACAAACAAACAAACAAACAAGCAAACAAACAAACAATCAATGAAACAAACAAAAGACAACCAAACAAAACAAACAAACACACAAACACACCAACACAACCACACAATCACGCAAACAAAAAAACAAACACCCACATAAACAAACAAACAAACAAACAAACAAACAAACAAACAAACAAACACAGCAACACACATCATGGATCCCCATCTTGCCATCACGCGGCCCATAGTGCAACGCCCAGAACTCCAGTACTTGCAAAAGCGTGTGAACTTCAGAGCAGACCGCGGATCCGAAGTCATGATGTTCCACAAACCGCCGTCGGCGATTTCGTCGTAGTGAACAAGGGTCACCCGACGTCTATGGCTCAGGATTTGGACACAACTCCAGCAAAACCACCCGAGTGTTTGTCCCAGGGCAAAACCAACCCTTACGCTGATATGCTTTGGGACTCTGGATTGTGCGTGTGCGTGCTTGCTAGTTTGCTTGAATTTGACGTTGCTCATTTGCTTGGCTTCGTGCGTGTGCCTGTGTGCTTGCAATAGCGGGCTATTAATTAGTTGTAGCCGTATCGCCCGAGCATACTTGACACCGCCAACGCCTCAGCCGGTCAAAAGTCGCGGGCAAACATGCGTACCGCGTGCGTGAGGCCGATCGAGTGCAATTTTACAAATACGCAAAAGCTACAAGTAGTTCTGGGGAGTCGCAATTTCAATGAAACCAAAAGTCAACACGAAAGTGTCTAATTAAATGGGGGAACCTCGTGTTCCAAACCTGTTTGGCTTCCCTCAGATTTCCAACTGAGGAGGGTGCGCTTGAAGAAGGACATGCCCCACAATAATCTGTCCACTAAGGTGAGGCTGTTGCGGTGACACCAAGCATCACTGAGGCCTGTGGGATGGGAATAAAGACAGACGCCCTCAAAGGGTGACATCAACTAAGTCTCCATGCCTAACTAGAACTCAAGTGAAAATCAAGAACCCGGAACTAAAAGTCAGGTGGGCCCCGCTTGGATCTGCCTGATTCCTTCTTTTACCCCGCAAGGGAAAACAATGTATACAAGTGCCCAAAACTCAGGAGCTGATCAACTGGTGCAGTGGCGTCACTTCTGGAGTGCGAAAGCAAGTCTTCCTGCAGGAATCACATGGGAAATAGTTCAGCATGTGAAGATCCTTCAAGACCAGCAGGGTATATGGCCAAGAGATGAACACGTAGGCTTGCCGTTCTTTGCTTTTTCCCCAATAACTGCAAGCCTTGAGGCTTTTGCCCGGATGCCACTTAACTTTGTAGGCTTGTTTGGGCTTCTAGGATTATGGCTGTCTGTAGGTTACGATTTCGAGGGGTCTGCCGCTTCGTTTTGACAAAGTCCGCGACCATTTATGTAGTGATATGCTTCGCTCAATAATGTGAAATTGGGGGTTTTATGGAACCGGGTAAAGACTACAACGTTTCCCCCAACCCGAAGCTATTTTGCATCTGCTGATTGGACAAATGACTAGAGTTTTGTGGAGTCCAAGAGGCAATCCACAGAACATCCACAAAGTTGATGGTTCCTGGTAGTAGACGCCGGCGAAATTGATGGGCTGATAAATGCTTGCTCAGTTGCTCCTGGCAGATTGGCTTGTTGCTGGTTGTTGGTGTCCTGTATTAGTATTAGTATCGTCTTCCGATGTTGTACCCAAGTTAGGTCAAGGTAACCCAAAAGGCAAGACTTCATTTTTGGGTATGTTGGCGACATACAAATTAATCCCCGGAAACAGGCTTGGGTGGCCCTCAGAAACGTTCTGAGTCCAACAATTTCTGCTGATTCGCAAGATTCGCAAGTGTCTTCTGAAACGCACTGGCTTTTGGAGTGGATCCAAACTTGTGGCGAGCCTATATGAACTGAATGAGACTCCGTAAGCGGAGCCTCGCAGAAGCTAGTGTGTGAACAGGACCCAGACTTTGGAAAAGTCGAATGTTGGCTGTCAGCTGCCTTTTTCGCCACGCTCCATAAAGGCATCGTGCTTTTGCATAAATGCAGGATGGGGCCGCCCGAAACTGTCGGTAGTGTGATGGGTGTGGAACACCATCCCTAGAGCCTGCTTCTCAACACCACCCCGCACCCCACCCTACGGGCCAATGGCGACCAATGGCAGGAAGCGGAAAAGCTTAGGCGAGGAACCCCTTTGTTTTGCCCGAAAGAAGAAATGGCGCGTGTAGCTCTTTGTGAAGTTGAAAAGGGACTGCGCAAGATAGCGGCCAACATCGGTAGGTCCAATATCGCCTGAGCAGTGCTTCCTGCCGCCCTGGAGCGTCATACGAGCCATCCACCAGGCCTGGAACTGTTTCCTTTAGTGGCCAGAGACAAGTACGCGGTTGTTGGATCTCATAGTCGCAGCAAACTATCAACACAGAGTGGGACACCACCACTAACGGACTACACAAATGGAAGGGCCCTGCAGATGGAGGACCTCCATGCGAGATTTCTTGGGGGGCCTGCGTGGCAAACGCATTGCGATTGCCAGGAAAATGCAGAGCACCAGTTCAGTACAAAAGCCGAGCTCTCCCCACAAGCATCCTGAAGGAAGGTTCACGCTCACAAGACTTGCAGCAAGCTCATCTCAGCAGCTTGGGCTGAAAGGTCTGGTGGTGCTCACAAGCAGAAGATCATGCTCTTGGGGCTGGACGGCTCAGAGTCCTTGATACGGAAATGAGGTAACATGTGCCCCAGGTACTCAATGCAAAAGAAACACAGGGAAACCAAATTTAAAAGGAAAACCAGATGCTGGGGGTCCCCTAGTTTTAAAACACAAATGAAGGGGTAACATGCATCACATGAGGCAAACAGTGGCTCTGTGCCCATCTTTGGGAAAACTGACAAATAGCCGACATTCCCTGAGAGGATCTTGACCGAAATCTCAAAGCACCAACGAACAAACACTTTTGGCAGGCTCTCTCACTTGCCTTCTTCGGCTACGGAAGGTAAGGACATCGGCTTGCTTCGGAACTAACACCGGCCCAAAGAAATACGAGCGCAACTTCCGGATAAGAGGCCTCCCATGTCCTTGGGCTGGGCAGGTTTGTGGAGGCCACACTCTCCGCTTTCTCGAGCTCCAAGCCCAGCCGGAAGACTCCGGCAGAAATGGGGCCCGTAGAGAGCAAGGATGGTCCACTCGGAATCCTGCACTCCAAGCAGCTCCCACAATGGAAGCCAACAGAAGCTTTCTTGCTCATGGTCCCAGGCATGGGTGCGCAGCGTCAAAGGCAGCTTGATCCGTATTTTAGACCCCTACAACCGGACGAGAAATGGCCCGAAACCATGCGTACGCGCGCACGGCTCACGGACACGGCATTGTGAGGATTCCTCTCTCTGCGCAAGGCTCGTGCAAGCGCTGGGCAATTCTCCGAGCCGTGTGTCTCTACGCAAGTTCTGCGCGAGCTTGTTCAAGTTCCAATCGCGAGCGGACACTGCGCAAGTTCTCGCTGCAAGTTTCTCTATGCAAGACCTCCATGGAAGCTTCCCTGCGCAAGCTCTCTCATATTCATCGTGCAAGTTTATCAAGACATATTTGCTTGCGCCAGTTCTCAGTGCAAGTTTCTCTGCGCAGCTCGCAGTGTGCAAGTTTCACTGGGCAACTTGCAAGTGCAATTCTCTGTGCGGAGTACTGTCTGCAGGTCCCTGCGGCTTCAAGCAAGTGACTCGGGGCCAGCAGCTTGGTGCAAGTTTCTCTGCTGAACAGGGTTGTGGGATCAAGGGGTTTCTCCCCACTTCTGTGATACAAGGGAATCCCCCTTTATATGAAGAAAATAGTCTTTGGGAAACCCTTTCTGTTGTATCACAGAAGTGGTCATTCCCCACAGCCCTGCTGCTGAAAGTTGCGATTTTCGTGCTGGAGCGGACCAAGGGAGATGCACGGCGGGGGCCTTTACTTCCAACAGCTGGCGCGCCACCGCTCACCCATCACACAAACTTTCAGCTCCGAAGTTAACGCTTTGCTGCTTGCTTCCCCCAATGAAGTAATTCAATGCATTAAAGCAAAGTGTTTCACCAGACTCGTGCAACAATCCTTTCCCTCAGAAAAATAAAGAACAACTGGACAGCTCAAACGACATTTGTTTCAACCTGAACCCCCGAACTCCGGAGAGAGAGAGAGAGAGATATGTATATATATATATATATACACACCCAGCCTGTTAAATTGCCAAAGCAAGGAGGACTCAATGCTAGCATAGCCAGATTTCATGATAATCGGGGCCCGTTTTTGGACCTACGCCGACAACATGTTACCAAAAAACAAACGCAAAACAAACTGCTGACTGACCATGAACATATTCTTACTGTCGATCAATTACCACTTCTCATCTCAACTGCTGTCTGGCCGGACCCCTCCAAATCCCATCGGGGCCTTTGGCAAGAACCACATACCCAACTGCTTCATGAAACCTAGCAAGCAACTGCTCTTTGGAACCCCGGAACCAGGGAGGAAACGCATCAAAAGTGCAATGGGTCCCAAGTCACAGACTTCCACCCGTTGGTGTTTCCATATCCAAGATCCGGGCTCAAGCATGACCTTCATGGGCTCCCAGCTGATGCGCGTTGGATTTGGCTTCTTTTCGTCTGGCTGCCGAAGCTGGTGCTTACCTCACGTGAAAAAAAGCGGGTGAACGAAAGCTAGCCAACGACATGTCATGTGCGACCCAGCCCCGTTCCCTTTGCCCTTGCTAGGCCGCGCAGCGTGCTTATGGTGCGTCGACTTCAGAGGCGCCGACTGCCCTATTTTACCGTTTTAAATGTTAGCAGGGGGCTCGACTTGCTGACTACAAGATTCTCTGAAAGGCCCGATGCTATCATGGGCGGTCAGCGAAGCTGTTGCGATTTGCGTGTCTCACTCCAAACACCACACTTGATACTTGCCAAGTGAGCAACTCTGGATTGGCAAATTTAGGTGTTCGAGTCCTACCCGGCCCAGTGTCAAAAGGGCTATAGTACGGCTATGTTTTGCGTATAAAAGCATTATTTTACAGTCACATTGGCAGAGCCAACAGTCAATCAGTTTCGGGCGCTCCCTCGTTTTGTGCTCCGAAACAGTGCCCAATCACCCCTCCCAATGCCTGTTCTTTCCCCATTTGCACAAGCCCACATCCATTTGAGGGCTCCCCCGAGATTTGGTGAAGCCTTGAGCAAATTACAAAAGCCAGCTTTGCTAGCAGGAGTTCTGGGCTGAGCTTCCCACAATGAACTGACCTATCAGGGTTTGGAAGGCAAAATGCCTGAGTTGCAAGTATTCATAAAGATCTACTTGTCCCCTCCCCACCCCGCGCAAAATGTGCCCAAAGCAGCTCCTCCATACAGGCTCACCCTCGCAGGGACCACCAAGGTTTCTCGTTCACCCTCCAAACAATAAATGAATGCATCAATCATAGACATAAGGGGGCAGCATCTCCAACAGACCCCCCTAGACCCTTACCGCTCTGGAACCCTTGAGAGCACCAAACCCCAGAGCTGCGAACAACTCTCGCGAAGCAAAGCGCTCGAACGCCACTCAAAATTGAGGCGCCGTGGGCAAAGGTGCAGGCGGAGCCCTTCTTGCATCGGCCCTTGGAGGACCACTGGAAGCACAGCTTGGTGGCCACGAGGTCAGGCGTTGCGCGCAGCTCCTCTCTTAGGTCGGCTCGTGTACTTCTGGCGACGGTCTCCCTGTGGCTTGATTTTAAAGAAGGGAGTTTATCAATTTGAGAAACTCCCCCCGCAAAAAAATATAGTGGACCCACACCGGCAAAAAGAGTCGCAAAGAACCAAAGGGCAACAAGTAAGTCTGGCACTGACTACGTAAATGGCGTGGCAAGAAGGCTCTGGTTTCCCTGCATGCGAGCAAAACCTTCCGTATAGCCTGGAAAAAAGACAAGATCACCGTTTCTTTCCTCAACTAGCTGGAATAGCGCGAGAGGCCAAGAGGTCGGCTTCGGTAAAGTGGGCTGCTCGTCTGTGACCCCCCACTTTGGAGTTCGACGGGCAAGTTGTGTGCCCGGTTTGGGAGTTGGTGCCCCATTTTGGCGCTGGTAGAGGGAAACCGAAGTAACCGGGCCTCGCTTTGGGATTCTCCTATTGAGACCGATCCACATATGTCCAAAAACACGAACTCAACGGAGTTTGGGCCTTGAAACTTATCTGGCAACTGCTTTGGCCTTGGCTTTGGCTTAAACTACCACCGGTAGGACACCTAGGTCCTGTTGCCACTCGATAAACCGCCGTTAAACTCATCGCGGTGGCCCCGTTTAGTTGGACCCTTTCGGGTGTTAGTCTCGACAAACCAAGACTTTCTAGAATCACTTACAAGGGTGTGTGCTTGTAGGGCACCTTGTGAGGGAGGTTTTAAAGGAAAGCTTGCCGGGGGGATGTCCTTGACCGAGATCACTTTTCCGCTTTCCCTCAGTGAAAGGTGAAACACCAATAGGAATATCAGAAAGCACCCCCCAACTTCATCTTCAAAATGACCAGTGATGCCAGATACCACTGTAGGTAGCGAAGGGTTATCCTGGCTACAATCCTTCTCCGAATCGCGTGGGTTGAGAATCCACATGCGCACGAACACACACACACAGAGAAAGGCCCAAACACAAACACAGACACGGACACAGACACACACAGAGACAGAAACAGAGACATAGACACATAAACAGACAGACAGAAAGACAAACAGACAAACAGACAGAGACAAAGCCGGACAGTAGCCAGCCAGCCAGCCAGAAAGACAGGCAGAGAGACCGAGACGGACAGAGACAGAGACACAAAGGGACCAACAGAGACAAACACACAAAAAGAAAACGCGCGCACACACACGCACACACACACACAGGCACACCCGAGCACACGCCACCACACACCCACGCCCGCCCACTTGCCCAACCTCTTGCCCACCTGCATTCCCACCCGCGTGCCGGCCCGCCCGCACCAATGCACAGAACGCATGCACCCACGCACCCACGCCCCCCGTGCAACCAACCACCCACACACACACATTGACCACACATGCGCAATCCTCAAGGGAACCTGGCTTGCAGCGTTGCCCCGAAGCATATCCGCGTAGCTAACAAGTAATGCACAGACAGCGGCGGGTGATTGGTTTGCAGCAAAACGGGAATCAACCATTATGCTGACGCATGAACTAGATCACGCGAAGGGCAAGTCCCCCAAATGTGTTCCGAATCCCTTCCAAAATGCATTGTGCCCCGATAAGCTGCGTACTGAATGGGGAGAGGCTGGAAAGACAAAAAACACGCTTCCATCGCCTTCAGGTTTCGCTGTGTGCAAATAATCATGCATGTGTGATTTAACGCCCATTCTGGCTGACAAGCTATCTGAGTTCCCAGGGATCAAGACCAAAGAGCGTTATTGAGGACAGGAGAAACACGGACCCTGGGACACACAACGACAGGACAGCTAGCAGCTAAATTCGACCATCTGAAAACGAAACACAAAGAACCGCATGGATGAAGAGAACAGGAATGAACCGGCCAAAGCTCCTGGTGTGAATGCGCAAAGTTGCAGGACTCCCCCATCATGCAGCGATTCGAGCTCCAGTACTTGCAGAGCCGGGTCTGCTTCAAAGCTGCGCGCACATTCTCGGTGGCCATGGCGAATGGATGGGCTGAACAAATGGGCCCCACTTTGCAACTAGAAACAGCCAAGAAACTTCACTTGAGGCGAAGCGCCAGTTGCAAGCCGGAAAACATGTGCAAAAACATCTTCTGTTTTGGAGAAGCCCTTCTTGGCTCCATGTTTGTGTTTGAAGGTTATACTTCGGTGCCAAGACAAGCAACACTCACACAGTATGCTGATAATGCCACCCGCAGTCAGGTTCCATGGTTGTGGATGCAAAAGCCTCCAAAAGGGGCCAGTTGGAAGAAATGCACAGTCTGAAGTTGTCCAATTCATTGTCCAGTGCCAGGGGAACAAACTGGGCACATATGTTGTTTCAAAACACAGGACCTCCAAACTGATGGCGTTCTCCTTGGTTTCCCTTCAAGCCAACCCTCGAAAGGGTACCCCAAAAACACACACACAGTTGGGAATTCACTGCCGTGATATAAAGTCGGCAGTCGCAAGCAACCTGGGAAAGCGCGCTGGCGGCTCGCCAACTCGTGAACATTTTACAGACGTAATGTTCAGAGCCAATGAAGCCTCATTTGTTTAAGTAGCTAAACGGTTGGTCAGAGCTTTTGCTTGGCGCTATTCAAGATGATCTTCCATTTGTTGTCTAGTTGAAGAGCTCAGGAAGTAAGAATCCAATGTAATGGGAACACAGGATTGACCAGGTTGCCAAGGCTTGTTTCCAAAGGTGCAACCAAGTGCGCAAAGGGAAGGCATATTATAGGATTTCCTACCTGTCCCCTGGCTCACCGGTCATGAGTCTGCACCCCACCCTCAAAGTACAGCCCCCACGTCAACAAATGACAGCGGGAGGTTGAGAGCCCGTTCACACCGAAAGAAATTTCCAGAGGTAAAAAAACAAAAACAGGGGCGGCAACAGACTGGCAGAATGTGAAGCCAAGCGAGTGTGGGCCTGGGACATCTTTGCATCCCGATTCCAGAACCTGGGCAAGGTTGAATGGGAAACCGGGATTTGTCTCATGAGCCCACGTTTGGAAAGCCAAGAGACTCCCCAGAAGTGCCGCCAGTCTTGATCGGTATCCCCAACAAACTCGTTGTGACCATGGTTCAAACATGACTCGTCAATCTGTAAAAATTTGGAGCTGGCACACCTGCATATGGCAAAAGAGCGTGGGTGAGGGAGCGAAATCCAGTTGATTGCTGAGAAACCTCACAGGACAACAACGTGACCTCTTGCATCCAGTGGGTCACGCTGTTCGGAATGCATTTCAGACACACCCGCAAGGCGACAACTATGTACCCCTTATACAAGGCGATAAGGCCTTCATAGCTCCAAAGCCATTATATTCCTGACCTGAATCATTGTTTGAGTATTGGGTACCCGTAGAACGTCTGTAAGTCAAGCTGCTGTCCTTTTCCGGGGCGTTCCTTTCTCAGTGGGAATCAAGACCGCCTTACAAGCTTGTACTGGTGGTATAGCATCCGTACCTTTCCAATCCAGGAGTGAAAGCCTGTCACGATTTGTGCTTCTAGATTTCTTCATTCTGACTGTGCGGATGTGGCTCAGCTCGCAACTGGTGCTCACTCCACCAGGCAACTCAACTCAAAAGAGGCACAAGCAAAACCTGTAAAAAGGTCTACCCAAACACATGTACCGATTCCTATGGGACTCCTAGCCAGGTTCTGATCGCGGCTCAGGCAAGGTGCGTGCCACAACCGAGTTACTCCAATGCTCAATAGACAACCTGCCAACTTGTGCAGAAGCATGTTCAGTTCAAAAATATGTCTGGGCAAATGGTGCACGGAACTTTGAAAACGGGGCTACCTAAAAAGGCTGTCCAAACCAAGAGGATGCCCTTAGAACAAACTTGCTTGTTCTCAGGGACTTTCAAGGGATTTGGCAAACTGGAAGGGGATCCCTAATGTCAAACTAAGTTTAATAAATGGGGGCGTATTCAGAAAATTATCGGCCACCGGACCCGCTTTTTCAACCAAAACTAAATTAAAAAGGGGACAATTCAAAAGTTAATTGCAAACATACAACACCGCCCCCCCAAGTCGACCCTCCAAAGCACAACATTAATAAACCACCCAAAAAACTCGCATTAATAAAAAACCCCGAAACGTGGAGGCGAGCCAAACAAGTTTGTTCGTATCAGGGAGCAAACCAGTCCAAAATGATTCAAAAGTAAGCAGGTTGCGTGCAGAAGTTGATGCCAAACAGACACATGCAACAAGTGCGCAGCGCACCAGGCAAGATAATTATATAACTGGAACCTTCAAAGGCTCCCCAGCAGACATCAGATCTCAAAAAAACATACATGCCCGGAAAGTGCGGCTTTTAAATGAAGTCTCTTTACAAAAGTGATGTCCCTGGACTCCAACATGAGGTACCCCACACAAGCTCCCCAAACCCGCATTAGTAAAAGGGTTCACATTAATAAACACCCCAAAGCCACCCCTAGGAAGAACTTGGTATTGGTATTGCTACAAGTACCACAAGTACTACTAGTACTTGAAGCAGTACTATGAGTACTCGTTGTACTAGAAGTAGTACTACAAGTACTAGATGCAGCTCTAGAACTAGTACTGCAGGTACTACAAGTGCTACTACAAGTGTTACACGTACTAGAAGCAGTACTACTACAGCCACTACTACAAGTACCACAAATACAGAAAGCAGTACAAGTACTACTACAAGTGCTGCTACAAGTGCTACTACAAGTACTACTAGAAGTACTGCAGCCGCTACTACAAGTACTACAATACTAGAAGCAGTACTACAAGGACTACTACAAGTACTACAGATACTACTACAAGTACTACAAGTACTAGAAGCAATACTACAAGTACAATTGTTTTCTTTATTGCGGTACTCAAAAATTAAAGGACCGGATAACCCCACATGCTATGTTTTTCCCAAATGTCCACACACATGTACCGTGCGCCCCTTGTATGGATGCGATTACAGAGCACCCAGATGCACAGAATGCTGCGCCTGCCACGACTTCGGCAACGGCATCGCCAAAGTGCTGCGCCTGCCACGATTTCGCAACGGCATCGCCAAAGTGCTGCGCCTGCCACGATTTCGCACGCCCCCCGCCGCGCGCGCGACAACATCCTGTCCCTCTAGACAGCTGCCGAATGCGACCCCTGCCACACAAACACACACCCAGATGCACAGAATGCTGCGCCTGCCACGACTTCGGCAACGGCATCGCCAAAGTGCTGCGCCTGCCACGATTTCGCAACGGCATCGCCAAAGTGCTGCGCCTGCCACGATTTCGCACGCCCCCCGCCGCGCGCGCGACAACATCCTGTCCCTCTAGACAGCTGCCGAATGCGACCCCTGCCACACAAACACACACCCAGATGCACAGAATGCTGCGCCTGCCACGACTTCGGCAACGGCATCGCCAAAGTGCTGCGCCTGCCACGATTTCGCAACGGCATCGCCAAAGTGCTGCGCCTGCCACGATTTCGCACACCCCCCGCCGCGCGCGCGACAACATCCTGTCCCTCTAGACAGCTGCCGAATGCGACCCCTGCCACACAAACACACACCCAGATGCACAGAATGCTGCGCCTGCCACGACTTCGGCAACGGCATCGCCAAAGTGCTGCGCCTGCCACGATTTCGCAACGGCATCGCCAAAGTGCTGCGCCTGCCACGATTTCGCACGCCCCCCGCCGCGCGCGCGACAACATCCTGTCCCTCTAGACAGCTGCCGAATGCGACCCCTGCCACACAAACACACACCCAGATGCACAGAATGCTGCGCCTGCCACGACTTCGGCAACGGCATCGCCAAAGTGCTGCGCCTGCCACGATTTCGCAACGGCATCGCCAAAGTGCTGCGCCTGCCACGATTTCGCACGCCCCCCGCCGCGCGCGCGACAACATCCTGTCCCTCTAGACAGCTGCCGAATGCGACCCCTGCCACACAAACACACACCCAGATGCACAGAATGCTGCGCCTGCCACGACTTCGGCAACGGCATCGCCAAAGTGCTGCGCCTGCCACGATTTCGCAACGGCATCGCCAAAGTGCTGCGCCTGCCACGATTTCGCACGCCCCCCGCCGCGCGCGCGACAACATCCTGTCCCTCTAGACAGCTGCCGAATGCGACCCCTGCCACACAAACACACACCCAGATGCACAGAATGCTGCGCCTGCCACGACTTCGGCAACGGCATGCGCCAAAGTGCTGCGCCTGCCACGATTTCGCCAAAGTGCTGCGCCTGCCACGATTTCGCAACGGCATCGCCAAAGTGCTGCGCCTGCCACGATTTCGCACGCCCCCCGCCGCGCGCGCGACAACATCCTGTCCCTCTAGACAGCTGCCGAATGCGACCCCTGCCACACAAACACACACCCAGATGCACAGAATGCTGCGCCTGCCACGACTTCGGCAACGGCATCGCCAAAGTGCTGCGCCTGCCACGATTTCGCAACGGCATCGCCAAAGTGCTGCGCCTGCCACGATTTCGCACGCCCCCCGCCGCGCGCGCGACAACATCCTGTCCCTCTAGACAGCTGCCGTGAGTCAGCGAGTGTGAGTGAGTGAGTGAGCGAGTGAGTGAGTGAGTGAGTGAGTGATGAGTGAGTGAGTGAGTGAGTGAGTGAGTGAGTGAGTGAGTGAGTGAGTGAGTGAGTGAGTGAGTGAGTGAGTGAGTGAGTGAGTGAGTGAGTGAGTGAGTGAGTGAGTGAGTGAGTGAGTGAGTGAGTGAGTGAGTGAGTGAGTGAGTGAGTGAGTGAGTGAGTGAGTGAGTGAGTGAGTGAGTGAGTGAGTGAGTGAGTGAGTGAGACGGAGACGAGCGGGAGGAGGAGGAGGAGGAGGAGGAGGAGGAGACGCGGCGCGCGGACGACGAGCGGAAAAAGTAAGAACCCCACACAAAGATGTGGGGAACAACAACAACAAAAAAACAGTTGAGGGGGGGCCGTTTACTAATATGAAGTCGACATTATTGTGTAACTCCGGATGGTGTAGATGGGTCGTTTCCTCATTCACAAATTATCAGCAAGCAAAATGGGCCTACATGGACAATATTCATAGCCTAGCCTCAATCCATGCGTCACAAAGC